GATGATGATGATGATGATGATGATGATGATGATGATGATGATGATGATGATGACATCCACTAGTCTAGGACACATCTAAGGGGCCAAACAATGATAAATTAAAATTTGAACTAACCTGGGAAGGCGGTCCACATGCAAGGAACTCACAGCCGTTGGCATCAACTCTGTGGACAACCACACGGAAATTGACTATTCGCTACCTCCGAATTACAAAGTTCTTACTGGACATTTTTAACCGTTTTGGGTTACTAAGACCTTAAGATCAAAATCAAAATAAATGTTCTATCTGTTCTATCAAAATCGTAAGATTATTCGGTGTCGTTATCAAGATATTCAAAGAATTATTGCACTCGAAAAAGCTTGTCATGTGAAACTTTAAAAATCTTTGACGTCAAATTTCTCAAAACTAGATATTAAGTACAAGAACTTTGTAATTCTGAGGTATCCTATTATTAAGGGGCGAAGGCTGACTTGTTTGAAAGGGTTATCAAAGTGAGGCAAAGAACTAGGAAGAATTGGTCGCTTTAAAGCACAAGGGGGCTATCCCGAAAAATGCTGTTTTGAGAAAATCGAAGGTAAAGTTTTTGGACCCTCGTTCCGTCTCTTTAAAAGACAAGGAGTGTTTTCTCTAGAACCAAACGGATATACACACCAATGAAACCAAACTTCTCCTATACTTAGGGCAATGTCCACTTTTGGTGTAGGTCAAGATTTCTGGAAACTCCTGAAATCTGGGTTGGCCCGCTTGTCCTTAAAAGGGACCAATTGAGGCCACACACGAAAAACGATCTCACAATAGGAACATGCATTTTATAAAGTTCTTGTTTGAGACGGCATCACTGACCTGAGATTGAAAAAAAATCCTGAATTCATTATTTCATATTCCCCCTTCCAAATAATCGAGAAAATATCTCATTAAATAATTTTATTCACACTTTGGATAAACCGTAGTTACAACTTTTAAACCATTGTGGGAATAATGGTCTCACGGTTTTTCAATAGTAAATTTTACTTAAGATGTGAATATACAAACAGATTGCAAAAAGAAGCAGCAGTGACATACTACAAATTAAGTGTTAGCAATTTGGTTTCAAATTTGACTGTCCTTGTCAAGGCTAGCTTTTCTTGGCCAGGGAATCATAATACCATGACCGGTAAAAAGTCGATGAAAAATAAAAGCAATCATAGCAGTCACGAGATTATAAGGAGTTACCCCCCCCCCCTCACCGTTATGAGGTTAACTCCACCAATCCAATTATCAGCTAACATATTCAGTGCTCCTGAATACTAATGAGAAAGGTCCGAAAGGGGTGAACAGGATATCTATGTTGCAATGAAACAGTTTTAAGAGTTGTGCACACGGCTTAAGTTTACAATTTTAAATCTATAAAGCCTACATCTATGGGAGTATTTGGTCGCTTTTAAGGACAAGCGGACTCACCCAGAATTCGAGGGTTTCCAGAAATCTTGACCTACACCAAAAGTGGGCATTGCCCTACCTATAGGATAAGTTTGGTTTCATTGGTGTGTATATTTGTTTGGTTTCAGAGAAAACTCTTTTAAAGAAACTGAACATGGGACAAAAACTTTACCTTCAATTTTTCTCAAAACAGCATTTTCGGGATAGCCCCCTTGTGCTTAAAAGCGACGTTATTTTTCATTATAGTTGTTCTGTTCCTATGTCTGGATGAAAATTGTATGTTTGTGTGTGTGTGTGTGTGTGTGTGTG